AAGACAATTAGAGCTCCTCTTACGAGCATTTTGAAATTAGCAAATGATTAGAGTTTACTGATCGATATATACCATGTCTGCCCCAAAAAATATTTTTTAATTCATTTTTGAATATAACTCAATAATATTACTTAGGTTTCATCAGACCGAACACATGCAGTTCGTATTGACAGTTTTTGAAAAATTATGTAGGATGATCTTTCAATTTGTATGATCGGAAATTTTGAATGTATCAATCATATAATTGAATTATTCAAGTCTGTTCGGTTATAAATGAATTTAAAAAAATAACTTTTGACATCACAGTAGTTTTCAACAAGCACACAGTTTTGAAGTTATGTATTTTGATAAGTAAATTCTGTCCATTGGGTTTTTTTGTCATTTTATTCTGGCTGTTAGGCACTATCAAAATAAATAAAAATGGCACAAAAGTATATTTCACTGAACGACTCTATTGCTCAAAGTAGCTATTTCAAAATGTTGGTTTCTTGAACTTCCGCACACGACCTTGTGGAAGAAGTGGCAACGACTCCTTGTTGAATTTTTTGATGATCTGGTTTCGTTTTCTTTGCAAAATATCATACTTATTCGTTGAATACTTTTTCAGTGATGGGTTATATGGAACCAGAAGACAGAGGAAGAATAAAAATACAAGATAATGTTTTAACAATATTGTACTTGGATCAAGAAAGAGACCCAGGAATGTATCAATGTAGAGCTTCCAATACACTGAAAACCACATACTCTTCTGCACAACTCAGAGTTTTGGGTAACAGAACTTTCTTTTTGTTTTTTATTTGAATATTGTGAATGTTAGTGTTTTTGCCTCTGTAAATGGATAGAACTGGCCGATACTTGATGAAAATCCATATTAAAACTCATTAATATAGTTTATTGTATGATTTTTACTATAAACTGTATTAATGAGTTTTTTCCTCTGTATTATAATTTTTTCTCTGTAAGTCATATCAAAAAACTAATCATAAGTTTTTGTATGTAGTTGAAATTTGAGATTCAGACCAGCCATAACATGGAGAAGTACAGTCACTTATTACGATAGAATAACGGTGTTGAAGCTATTTTCTGGGTTTTTTGGCCGTGGTCTGCAGGTTTTTATGTCTAATGTTTCGTCTACTACTGTGGTAGACATTATCAAAGTGTTCCAGTTGCTCTCAACGTAGAAACTAGTGTTGGAATTTGTCTCCGGTTTTATATCATCATTGGTGAGAGTGGCTTCATTTCTCTTAATGGGCTTGTTTCATGATTTTTGGTTTATAGTTCACTTGATAGAAATTTCAAATTGAAAAACGGTGCACTTTGTTTCAGCTCTCTAAGTACCGTAGTTTTCCCGTAATTAATTATTAAAAATCGAATGTGGTAGGGTGGTGACGTCACGGCCCTATTCTCGCTTCTTGTTCGATTGACCAATAGGAACAATAGAAATAATCAACATTGCCAAATCGTAAAATTTACGAAGCCTATAATTATCAATTNTGATAAATGATATCGTACAAGTTATATCTAAATATTATTCTGAATATGATTCTAAATAGAATTTAACGAGCTGTTTCGAATGTTGATGAACCCTAATGAAATAAATCAATTATACATTCATGCCACCCACCAAAAATAAGAAATTCAATGTTACTGGTATATTAGCCATATTGTCATCCAGTCAGCCAGCGCCCTCTGTAGTGTATGCGAAAATGTGCTCTTTCTAATGTCAATGGTTTCTATACATAATTTCTTATTCTTGTCAAAATAATTCCAAAATTAATGTTGAGCCTAGTTTTATTAAAGCTGACTCCGACAACTTACCAAGAGTCGATTTTGAAGTGATCGATGAATTTTACTTGAAAAATTTGCAATACTTTGGTATCGGAATGAAGAATGAAAAATTGAAACGGTAGGTGGTATATTTAGTAGGTCCCTTTTATTTATATGACTTTCATTTCAGACTTTATATTTTATCGAAGGATGGAGAGTTTTGAGTAAATTTTTATTTTAGCTCGACCAAGGTAGTAATGATAAAATTCAATCCAAAAATAACCTGAAAAAATATTTTTCGGAATGTAAACTAATGACACGGAATATGCAGCAAAATAGACGCCCGCCGAGACCTACCTTTCACAAAAAAAAAACCTTCTTTAATTAGATAATTGTAGCAGTTGTTTTCACACCGAGTTGACAGCAATAACAACAAAAATGGCGTCTGTCAAATTCGATTGATTGGATATTAAAAACCAATACACTTGGCAACTCCGCTCTAGACACGATCAATTTTATTGGTCAATAGACACGCGGCTTTTTGAATTGTTTTTTTTCTGCAAATATAAAGAGATCTTGGGATCGATTAGGCTTGATAAGTATAATATACTCTTAACTCGATCAGTCTATAAGCAAACCACTATCATTTTCCATAGCAAGAAACAAGCCCATTGGATTAATTGATCTTGTTTGTGTACAATTTAAACACGTAGCCAGATTTTACTATTGTTCATTACCTCTTCCTTTATGTTGAAATTATCTGTGTTTTATTACAAACCAACCTATACACATACAGCTATCAATAACCATTCTAATCACTGAATATTCCTGGAGTTGTTTCCCAACACCAAATCGTTATTTTTAACACCTTGACACGTGTTTCGATCACCAAGTGATCATCTTCAAAGAGGAAGATTAAATAGTTTTAATCTTCCTCTTGTGTTGGGAAAAACTCCAGTAATATTCATTACTACACCAAAGGTTCCAAACAGTGCATCATAAATTCTAATCACTGACCATGATTTATCACTTCCTTGCCAAAAAACTTTTCAAGCAGGCGAAAATACCCAAGTATTCCGCTACATTTAAAGTAACAGTAAAACAGTCGCATATATAGGAAAATCTGATATAATAAAAATACTACTAACAAAAGAAACTTCAACATAGCTGATAACTGGTGCCTCCTTCAGTATACATATAAAAAACATATGAAAACAAAGTTAACAAATCAGAAGTCTAGCACAATTTCAAAACGTGAATCCCCGAACATAAAAGAAGTTTTGAACTGAAGAAAATCAATTCCACGTATGCTTTTAGAGAACAACCACTTTTTCAACATTTATATTTAATATAGAAAATGAAGGACAAAAACTGAACCTGCTGAAATCACTGGAAATCAATAAACCCAAACATTAAAATGTCCTTCTAAATGACGAAAAGAATTTTATTAGTTCGGATTTCCATTGTCTAATATGATATAAATTGATATGAAATCTGTGAAAGAATAAATAAAATTAGAATGTGAGAAAAAATAAAAATAAGCAAAAAAATAAATTGAAGAAATAAAAACAAATTGAAAACAGATTTCAAATCAAGTTACTTCATAATGTTTCGATTGTTAGTATCCACAATCGTCTTCGGGTGATGAGTGGACTTTTCCTCTGAGAGATGACTATTTATGGTTCATTCGAGGGCTTTCACCTGTACCCTCTCTCCGCATCAACGGTTTAGCGGGAGTTGACCGTTTGGTGGGAGTTGACAGTTTTCCGCTTGAATACAGGTTTCCATATTTTACGTATCTCTACGCTAGCTTGGCTGAATGCTTCGTTGGACAACATATATGCAGCTTCTTAAAACTTCCTAAACTATTGTCTCTCTTTGTGGATGATCTCAACTTTTGGGACCACTTGCTGTTATGTTGATGAGTTCCCGATTTGCTGGTTTCTCCCTGCTGTGTGTTTTTCTTGTGGTCGGCAATGCAGACTTTCAATGGCCTCTTAGTTCCACCGNCATAGTATTAGGTAGGTTAATATTTCTCACAGTTATTAATCTCATAAGTTGAAAATTATATTTCATTGTGACTATACACAAATGAAGCTGTTGAATAAGGGTGTGTGGATTTTGTAAGTATTATTCGATAACACAAGTAATAAGTTCGAAACGATTATAGTTCCCAGACACTAGAACTTCAATACTCTTCTTGGCGTGCATTTCACCAACCAAATTGGCGTCTTCAGGAGTTGTAACCACTTAGCCCTAAGATTAAAACAATTGATATATTTTCAAACAGGAAGCAATCAAACGAATTCACTTTATAGTAGTCACAATTTGAACAAGAATAGAATAAAAAAGTATATAGGATAAAGAAAATAACTATTGTCTAATTTCAATTTCAAGTTTATTATAAGTGTGAGACAGAGAAAACTAGTAGAGTTGAAAACTACCCCCAGGTCATTTCCGTCATAAATCTTATAAGGCTCAAATGTGTTTTGCATTAAGAATTTCATCAGAGCTGTCTTACTGATGTTTTGTGTTAATTATTATGTTTATGGACAGATAATTACTCTATAGACATTGTCTGCCATTTTTGAGAGATGTGCAGTGACAATAATATTGATTATACAAGTATATACCATACAAATTTTATATTTGTATGAATGTTGATAAGAAACAGGTATGGAAACACAAGAAAATGATACCAGCAATTTTCCTATGTACTTTCCAATTATGGCTATCTTGAGTGGTCAAACAAGTGTGATATAATGTGTTTTGGAATAGATAACACCTCCGTAACTTTTCAGTCAGATTACATCTTGTTTCTTTGTGAAATTATGATTTTTTCAGATGTAACATGTCAATAAAGCCAGGCGTTTAGTATCATTTTCCATATCGTTTTGTCCATAGAGCCTTGAAGCTCGTTGGTTCCTGTTCGAAAAATTTTTGAATTATCTTCGCCTGGGATATTAAACTCCTTTGTCCCACCCTTGATGATTTACTCGTCTTTGTTTCAAATCTGTGACTGATTTTGGCGCAACATTCCGAAAATCAAAAGGATGTTGGTGTCTCAATCATCAAAGCTTCCGACAATGATCTCCGACGAGATTTGTTTTCTATGCTTCACTGCAGCTTTCAATGCAAGACAACTAGCTTGAAACTAGAGCTGAAATGCTACACATTTATGATTTAACACCAGCCAGCACTGTTTTGATACTATAGATGACGTCTCCATAAGAGGAGATGTCATAGCCCTCACTTACACAGGCTTTTCCTTTAAGGACAGTCGAGTCCAACAATGCATTTCTGGTTCAGGTTAAGACCTCTGATGAGACCTATAGTGGGTCGAAACAGAGCTGTCTGCTATTGAATTGTAAGTGCGTTGTGTTTGGGCTCTGGTTTTCAGATAAAGGTTATTGAAATGAAAAAAATTATTAAATTAAAGAAATCATTGCAACAGTTACACTCCCAATGTAAGAGATCGATATTGTCGCTTTCAAAATCGTCCCCATTAGATGTTAGGCACTTGTGCCAGCGCTTCTTCCAATCCTCGAAACACTCTTTCAACTTGCTCTTTGGGATAAACATAATCTCTTTCAGCAATGCACTTTTAATGTCATCTATACTTGTGAAACGGTGGTCTTTTGGGGTTCTCTTTATTTTTGAAAAATAGGAAAAAGTCACACGAAGACATATCTAGTGAATATGGAGGCTGGAGCATCGTTACAGTGTTGTTTTTACGAACAAGTAATGAAATATGAGCAGGTAGTATTCATTATTGGCCTTTTTCGGTGTTGGCGAGCCAGAATACCTCCACTGCGATGATTGAGCCTTTGTTTTGACGTCATATCCGTAAACTCCTGAGCAACTTTCAGTCGCCGTTGTTCTTGTTGAAAATTCAACAATTTTGAAACAAATTTTGCTGCCATACATTTCTTACCCAAACATTCGAAAAAATGTCATAGCATGAGCTAATCGATATGCCAACATCATTAGCGATTGATTGTAATTCGGCGATTATACATAACTGTTTCTTTCACTTTGGTGATGAGCTGGCGCGTCCGACGCGTTCGTGATCTTTAACGTCTTCGCGGCCATCTTGGAAATGCTTATAACCTTCTGTTTCAATCATACCAAACACTCCATAGGCCTTTGTTAACATTTCTCAACCTTTGTGTGAGACCAATTTGTTGAGCTCTTCCTGGTTAAAGGGCTCAGGAGAAATATGTGGATTAAAATCAGTTTTTCTACTTTCATCACTTGAAGAAGAAATTTTTTCATCTAAGTTGTGATCATTTTCTATAGATGAAAGTGCTTGTGATATTGATGCATTGCCAGAGTACCTACAGAATTGGTTGAGTATTAGATAACAAGTTATGGTAAAACCATTTGAACAGATTTCTTTTATAATCCCGTTTATATCACGCAAAAATAACAATTCTTTTGATAGTTTGAGGGTTCCCGCAAGATCCTTGGTGTTCAATACTTGAAATGGGTTCTTTATTTATTTGCCCATAGTCTCTAAAGACTCCTCGCATGTTTTACATACCATATTATAGGCATCCAATACTTGTTACTGGTGTCCATAGGAAATCCAAAGTAATAAAGATACACACGTTTTACAAACACAGACACACTTGGCTACAATTTTTGAATGTATATTTACCACAGATGTTGCAGAAATAGTTGGGATCGTTTTCAGATATATTTCTCGATGTACACATTATAACAAAAAAATGAATTTGTAAAAGAATCACTTTTCATACAGTTAAGTGTAAGTCAAGGGATGAAGATCTCAAAATAGCCCAGGTTGACGTTAGACAAGTACATACATGGTTCGCCAGCAATGAATTCATACTGAATGAGAGTAAAACTGTATGCCTAAAATTTGATTGTATGCCAAATAATTCTGCGAATCAAGAAGAAATGTTGAATTTCTAGGTGTACAAATTGACAGTCACCTCCAGTGATCATAACATGTGATTTTTTTGTATTGTAAACTCTCCAGGGCTGTTTTTGCTATTGAAAAAGTTTGAAACCTTGTAAATCAAACAGCAGCGCTAACTTCTTATAACTCCCTATTTCATTCACATCTCTATAATATCTTGCAACGCAGTCCTTACATTTAATTTTGTAAATTCCAGATTTTTCTGAATTCTCGACTTTGTCCTTTGGATTTCCTAAGAGGCTCTGTAGTGTATCACTTGTTTTAAATACCACCTTCATACCTAGTTCTTTGAAAATCTTTTCAAAGGTCTTCGTGTATTGGTGCTATGGAACTTGGTTTTCGTTGTTTTCTAAAAGTCGAGAGGTTAAGAATGAACAAAATCTCTTGTTGCTTGTTGAAATAATATTTTAATTATCAGATTTACCTGACTATTACATAAGGACACATTGTAAAATTAGTTTAAGATCAGTAGATAAGGCAATATTGTGAAATTAATTTAAGACACTTAAGACGCAGGTACCTAGAAGGGGTATCTATGGTATAAATAAGGATAACATTGTAAGTATATTTAGTTTAATCTTCCTGTTGAAGATGATCACTTGGTGATCAACATGTATTTTGACTGAATTTCAAAGACTCATTCTAGTTCTGCTGTACTGTGGCAACATTATTGAAAAATAAACTGTATTAATGGTCAACAGAAAATCACCCTAAACCCCCTTTCTTTTTAGGAGGCCCTCGTCTTGTGGAACCTTTGAGAGAAAATATTGTGTCATATGTGGGTAGAGATATTGATCTGCGTTGTTATGCAGTAACAGATGAAATGTTGGATATAGCCTACATTTGGAAACATAATGGAATGGTCATACGAGATATTGATGTTTTGAATTCATATAACAGATTGGTAAGTTGATATAAACATCTAGATTCTGAGTTCTTCATCATATATTTCTCTCCAGAAAATTGATGGGGGCTATTTAAGAATTCTGAATACAACATTCTCGGATTCTGGAGAATATGAATGTGTGGTCAAATCCGCAGTGGGAAAGATATTTTCAAAGGCAAGAATTATAATCGAAGGACCACCAGGCCCACCAGGAGGTGTACAAGTGGTGGAAATAAGGAAGACTTCTTTTTCAATTCAATGGACTGACGGAGCAAGCCATGGCTCACCAATAATTAGCTACACAATTAGTGGAAGAACCAACTGGAACAGTGCTTGGCAGAATATCACTTCTGGTATTCGTGCAACTGAAATCGATAGATACACTGGTAGGAAAGAAGCTGTAATAGATAATGTCCTTACTCCGTGGTCAGTATACGAGTTCAGGGTTGCAGCATGGAATAATTTAGGGATGGGTGTGCCTTCGCAACCAAGTCCTAAACATGCAACTTCACCAGAGAGACCTTTTGTGGCACCTCGAAATATAGGTGGCGGCGGTGGTAAAATTGGTGATCTAACCATTACGTGGGATCCACTGAGACCAGACGAACAGAATGGTCCTGGAATATATTACAAAATATTCTGGAAACGAAAGGATGGAGAAACAGAATTCCAGAGCCAAAGTTTGAAAGAATACGGAAATACTGGTGTGGCTGTTGTGAATATAGAAACAAAGTACTTTTACACTGAATACATTGTGAAAGTACAGTCGCTCAATGAAATTGGACCAGGCCCTATCAGCCAAGAGGTTGTCATATACTCAGCAGAAGATATGCCTCTTGTTGCACCTCAGCTGGTAGTTGCGAAGTCCTACAATTCCACCGCTTTGAATGTCAGTTGGGTTCCAGTTGATCAAACTAGGGAAAAAATTAGAGGAAAGCTTATTGGACATAGGGTGAGTTCTTTGTTTATAATTTTTCTTACAACGTTTAGCATTATGGTATAGCAAATTTCCAAAATACAATTACAAATACTTAATCATTGAAATAAGAAAAACACTAGTGCATTCATTCACAATAACCTTCAATGAGATATTTCAATACATTGATACAACAATAGTTTATTTGAGTGGTCTTTGAATTCGTAAGTGACCAAGTAACAGAAAAAAAAAACAAATAGAAAATAAGTATATCTCTTTCAATATAGAACAGCTACAAGATGAAGCCCATTATGTTGAAAAAATGTGATAGAACTGACCGATACTTGACGAAAATCCATTATAACGTATTCAAAAAAACACACTTCGATTTGAGATTTTCACTGGAAAGTTTACAAAACCGTGACACGTGTTTCGTTATATGATAGCATCCTCGGCCGTCACAATACTTTATTGTTTCGCTCTACCATAGCATCCTCAGGCTTCACAATACAGTATTGTCATATAGTGAAACACGTGTCGCGGTTTTGTAAACTTTTAAGTGGAAATCTCACATTAAAATGTGTTTTTTGTGTTTCATCGGGGTGGGGTACTATGCCCCTTTTGTAGTTACTCCTGGATGAACAATTTGCTTGATGCCCATGACAGAACAGAGGTAGGTCTGCCAGCTTATGCAGATGACTTTTGTCGAGAATCAAGTCAGGAAGTTTAGCCTTTAATATCCTCCAAAGAACATTGGACAATGTTCTTGGTTACTTCCAAAAGAGCAAATGTCTGTAAACCGCAGCAAAACAGTGATAGTCCCCTTCACCAGGAAGAGGAATCTGGATGATTCAAAGCCACATTCCTTCAGGGTGAAGTTATTCCATTTACAGCGGAAATCTCGGTATTATCCTAGATGAAAAAGTCAAGTGGAACACTCATTTGGAAAATATTTCATATAGGCCAGGCTACCCTCATGAACTTATCGAAGGATCTGTGAAAAATATTGGGGCTGGGGGCAAAAAAAAAATCTGTTCAATATATGTGATGATTGTCAGACCAATGTTCTCTACTGTATACAGATGGGCTTGTCTGGCTAGTTGAGGTGCCAACACCACACAATCAGTGGCCATATAAATCCTCTAGACCTACCTCTGGTTCTCATGTTCCTGATGGAATGGACTAGTTGGACAACATATGAAAACGTGTACATGGCCATTTGCAGAAAATAGGCTTATGCAGAATGTAGCAGACTGGAAGTCATAGCATTTTGGGAATGGCCTGCGACTTAATGCCTTCAGTAGTAAACTATGACATACTTCACAGTAATAATAATTTTTGCACATATTACATGAAATAATGTAAGAGCCAGTCAAAAATAATAGTTGTCACATAGATTTCTAATTCAGAGTTTTATGGAAATATTCTTTAACACAGTATGGTACCAGTTTAGTTTGTTGTTTTAGTGTTAATAATTATAATTTATCTATTACAAGAATCATACAAATGATATCAGATATGTCACAGACAAAAAATCATACTTACAAATAGTACTGTAAATAAACGGGAAGCTGCGTAGATTTAATATTTGGTGGAATAAATGGTAATGAAGTTTCTCACATGAATATAGGGTTGGTTTCTCTAGTGGGCAGAGACGATGATGCGGTATATTGACATTTTTTGTGTGTATTGTTGATGGAATTTTGTGTACGTAAAAGTAATTTTAATAATTGAATAGAAACTTGATGCATTCATAAACATAAATAGTGTGACTTTAAGTGACACTTGTAAAATTTATTGTAGAGCAATTTTGTTAATATACTTATAGCTCTTTTTTAAATTACGAAAATATTATTGGCACTACTAGTGCTCCCCATATAACAACCCCATATCTAGCTAGAAGTTTGCGAAATTGAGAGTTTATGCCATAGAGATATTTGTATTTTTGATCAGAAGTCTTAATCTGGACTTTTTGGCAAAATAGTCCACTTTATAGATAAACTCTTTATTTCATCGATTATAATTCCAAGACATTTATTATTATCAGAGAATTTTATAGTTTGTTGATTATGTTTGATGCCATTTGGAGTATTGAGAGATTGGTTAGTTTTGAAGAAGATCAATTTTGTTTTATCAGCATTCAGTACAAGCTCCAAGGTTTCTAATTGTGTCAGTTCTGGAAAAGTATATGCCGTGAATAATCAAGTGATGTCATCAGTATAGTTTATGATAGTTTCATTACCGTTTGCAATCATATGAAAGTGATTTATATAAATTACTAGCTGACCTGGTAAACGTTGTTCTGTCATTTAAATTATTTCTGTAGGATATCAAACTTGCACCCAGAAAGATAAAAAAACTTCACCAGAAGAGTAAATAATCTTTTCAAATAATTTAATTTAATAAATGTAGTTAATGAACCTACCAGAATAGCAACATTTAATTCTCTAGACGAGTATCTGCGAGCATAAGTACATCACATGGTGAAGCCCTCACTCACCCTTGAAGTGTAAATTTAAATTTGATCAGTTGTAGTTTTTTTTATTGAATATAAAATGAATTATACTATATTTGTATTTTATATTTAATGCTGACTAGTCCGACAAGCATCCATATATTCTTTAATATTCCTTTTAATTGTATTTATGTTTCAGTTATGAAAAAATATATACTATTTCACTCTATTCTGTTCATCACAGTAATTCATTAAACAAATTTCCTAAAAACTTTCAAACAGAAACAAGTATCAATGTACATTATACATAATTTTCGGGGAACGGTAGCCGGTTGATTTAGCGTGAGCGGTTTGTTCCACTCATTCAATCGACCGTTAGGTGAAACTACCTACACTTCTCGAAATATCAGGTGTAATATTTTGGAACACTTCAAGAACCACTTCTCAGTTGATCTTCAGATTCAAAAACATGCTGTTGAATATATTTTTTTCAAGATTCCCAAAACAAAAACATTAAGTGGAGTGATAGCCAAGCGGTCGGTAGCCAAGCGGTTCGGCGTGGGTGCTTTGTTCACTCACTCGAATTGACTGCCGTGTTGGTCGGTGGTTCAAGCCCTAGTCTGAACGATCGATCTTCACTTGCTATCGTCCAACCCGTGTTAGGAATCACACGTTAAAAGGTAAGACCTCGTTAATCCTTAGCTCGCACAAGTTTCGACTTCTGAGGGTTGTCGTTCGTAGGGGTGCGACAGCTGGTTAACGGAAAAACAGATTTTAAACAGATTTTTTTAAACAGATATCTGGTGAGCGAGGTAGCTACGAAACTGCTGAGTGGTATCTAGAAACGACTCTCTTGGCAGACAGTTGCAAAGTCAAGCTTTGACATAGACTGTCGGACGAGATTTGTCCTCTGTCTTTCATTGTAAAGCAACTAGTTGAAACTAAAGGCCAAAATCAAAGAATTGGTGATCTGATACCAGACATCACTGGTGGTGATAGGCTGAAACAAGAATGTAATGGACTCATTTATTCTTGAAGGATAAGCCTAAGTAAATAGAGGCAATGACATATTTCCCTACAAAGTTGCCATCTATGGGTTTAACAGAAGACTCAATCCACGGATATCAAAAATAAACTAGGTTCTCCAAGCCGGACAATTGCAAATCTTGAAAATCCACCGCTGAACGAGATACGTCCTTCCTCTTTCACTGCAAGACAACTAGGTGAAACCAGAGCCTAATAGTAAGGCATTTGTGATCCAACACTGGACATCGCTTTTTCGACCCGGCATAAATCTCATCGACCACCGAATGACATTCGTTCTCTGACTTTCACTGCAGCTTTCACTGCAAGGCAACTAGTTGAAACAAAAGCCCAAAAACGAAATCATTCGTGATCTTACACAAAAAAACACTTTCAGCTAGCCATAGGTTTCATCAGTGGTGCCTTGGCTGAACCACGAATACATTACTGGACTCGATTGCCTTAACACGTTCAACACCAAGCTAATATTGGGAGGGTACTTGCCTGAACCGCATACTAAAAACCATCTAACTACCTTTTTTTTTTTCATGCCGAAAAGAGTTTATCGATTGATTTTTGTTTTTTTCTTACGTCACATCTGAAGGAGTGATCGACCGGTGGATCACGCCTTAAGGCGTGCCATGAAAAATCAGGAATATTTAAGTTTCTTATCATTGCAATGATATTAAATATAGGAAAATAACATTTCATTTGTAATCACTATGAATAATTCCTTCCAAATACAAAAAATATAATCGAGAAACATATTTTTTTAATTTAAAACCAATAAAACGCCAAAGCTTCAACTACATGCCCACTACATATCAACTCTCTAAAGCTTGTCGTTCATTGACCCATCTGGCAAAATATTACCATAACTCCCACTACTGGGAGGACATACTGGTCCCAAAGGTTGCGCGACAAATCTGTGCACCGTTCGTAAGTAATTATTTCGCTAAATTCCACAAGGACAATTGTGTCCAACAGTGCATTAGTTGTTCAGCCTAGCATCACTTGGTTGTTTGAAACAGCGCTGTCCGGTGTTGGATCACGAATGCTTTGTTTTTGGGCTCTGAATTCACCTAAATATTTGTTAATTTAATATCTTTCACTTACTATATCCATATAAAACTGGTTTCATAAACGCCCCATACTGCTTGCAGTTGATTGACTGAGACATACACATAATATACTCGTATATGTAAAAGAGAAAAAAGTACTTTAAGATTACATCCCATTCGCATTGGCGATACTACAAGAAAAACTCAATTAGACCACAAAGACCCCAGTTAGGTTATGAAAGCTCTGAATCTTTTATGAGTATAATATTTCAAAATAATTCAGTCTTTGGATGCATCACTCCACAGGAGTTCTGTTGTGAACTAAGCCAGGAAAACATAATACACAGTAATTTATTTCTTCGAAAGTTTCCCACATTTATTATATAAAGATAGAGAAGTAGAAAGCAATATGAATTATTTCAAAAATAACATATAATTATTTAATACCAAATTCATGAGATAGTCTAGATCAAATAATTAATTTTTAAAACATGTTTTAAGACACACTTCTCGTGTTGACCGTTTTGATTCCTCATTTTTTTTCATGAATTAGTCTGGATTGCATATTTGAAGTAATTATTATTTCAGATCAAATACTGGAAGAAGGATTCTGATGAACGAGACAGTGTATATTATTTGTCGAGAACCACCAGACCTTGGGCACTTATTGTTGGTCTTCAGCCTGATACGTACTATTTAGTCAAAGCTATGGCGTACAATGCTGCTGGAGAAGGTCCCGAGAGTGAAAGATATATTGGTAAGTATAAGTTTTTATTGTTCATTAGTCAAACTAACTTTCACCTGTTTTTAGAACGAACTTATAGAAAAGCTCCTCAAAAACCACCTTCATCTGTAATTGTGGTTGGCATCAACCCTTCGACAGTCAGGGTTGTTTGGCGATATGTGCAGCCTTCGCAAGAAGAAGAACCACTCCAAGGTTACAAGGTGATTGAGAAATATTATATTTGAATTTTTCATCTCATACAATTTGAAACTTACCAATTATAATAAGTGCTTGAGAAAACTATGGTTTAGCGAAACACATGTCGCGGTTTTGTAAACCTTATAATGAAACAGTCAACACTATTTCCCAGGTTTTTTGTCCAAGGTCTGCAGGTTTTATGCCTGACACTTCGTCGACTACTGCGGTAGACATCATCAAAGACGATGAGGTAACGGTCAAAGTGCAGGAATTGTTCTCAACGCAGAAACTACAATATTGGCATTTGTCTCCGATTTTATATCATCATTGGTGGGCGTGGCTTCGTTTCTCTTAATTGGATCGAATGTCTTTGTTAGTATACAATTGAGGACAGGTAGCCAGATTTCACTATTGTTCATTACCTCTTCCTCTATATTGAAATTATCCCTGTAGTTTTGAATGTCAATTGCCTCTCTATCTATTCTTGGAGAGTTATTTTGAGTTTTGTCGAGTATTTGTGAAAGTTTGAATGAGATAATATAAATGCCTTCTTTAAGAGCATGTTTGACTACAGCTGATTTGTCTTTTTGTCCGAGGCGACAATTTCTCTTGTGTTTAGAGAGACAGAATAAATTGAAGAAATAAAAACAAATTGAAAACAGATTTCAAATCAAGTTACTTCATAATGTTTCGATTGTTAGTATCCACAATCGTCTTCGGGTGATGAGTGGACTTTTCCTCTGAGAGATGACTATTTATGGTTCATTCGAGGGCTTTCACCTGTACCCTCTCTCCGCATCAACGGTTTAGCGGGAGTTGACCGTTTGGTGGGAGTTGACAGTTTTCCGCTTGAATACAGGTTTCCATATTTTACGTATCTCTACGCTAGCTTGGCTGAATGCTTCGTTGGACAACATATATGCAGCTTCTTAAAACTTCCTAAACTATTGTCTCTCTTTGTGGATGATCTCAACTTTTGGGACCACTTGCTGTTATGTTGATGAGTTCCCGATTTGCTGGTTTCTCCCTGCTGTGTGTTTTTCTTGTGGTCGGCAATGCAGACTTTCAATGGCCTCTTAGTTCCACCGATATAGGATTAGCCGCACTCACAGGGTATCTGGTACATGTAATTCTTGGAATCGCAGTCCGAGTTTGTTGGTTTCTCTTTGCTGTGTGTTTTCCTTGTGCTCGGAAATGCGGACTTACTTCTTAGTTTCACTGATATAGGATTTGCCGCACTAACAGAACTATAACAGATTGACGCGAGATTTATATAATCAATACATTTTTAGAAAACGGAAAAGGATTGTTTTTTGTAACGTTAGCTACTTAAGAAAGCTAAATATGAATATTTAATTTTTTCAATTGATATTCTTCAATTTGTAGGCAAAATTTATGAATACGATAAGTTACTTACTAACTGGACTTTTCAGTAGTTGTTTATATTACGCAGTAACTTTTCGGGGTGAACTTTTCAATTTGCCCTTTACTACAATTCAGCGGATTCTCTATTGATTCAGCTTCTATTTCACATTTTCAGAACGTGGAAGGTTATAAACCCAAAAAAAACAGTATAAAAAATATTTCATTCGTTAAAAAATTGATGGATGTAGCCGTTACTACGTGGTAGGAAATCATAGTGAAGAAAAGAGAAATGAAACTTTCTATGTTTTTCACCACTTTTATTTGCAATTTCGTCCTGTAAGGACATTTTAAAACTTATACAATGAACTGTGATAAAAAACATAGAAAGGTTTCAATTCTCTTTTCTTCATTATTATAATATCCTTTAAATGAAAAAAAGTGTCTGTATGCCTGTTAGAATATCAGCGAGGTCAGAAGCATAATTTGATAGATCATTATAATTCAGACGATTTTAGCTAAAGAAAGGCATTGTGAATTGTCGTTGCACGTCTTCCCTTAATCATTCAGTTNCAATACATCTAAGACAATTAGAGCTCCAATGCAGGGCAGTTATCTAATGGCAGTATGCTTTGGGAAATATCAATTAAGTCATTAGTTTTAGTGAAGTAAAAAAATGATGTTTATATCCAAAAGCTATTTGATTCAGCAGTCCAAAACAAGCACTGTTCCCAAACACCATAACTGTAACACTCTTTTCGAGCCGCGTTTCACCAACCGAGGTAGCATCTTCAGATCAGTTAGTCCTCTTCATCTCCTGTAGACGCCAACTTGGTTGGTGAAACGAGCGTCGTAAAGAGTGCCGCAGTTCTGGTGTTTGGGAACAGTATCTGTTTAGAATTTATTCTACAATTACCTAAGATTTTTCATGTAGTGCTCGTGTTTTATCCTTAACAAAATGTCCATCAAACTCTTTCATTTTGTCATTTTTTTCAATTATTTTGAAACATTCTTTAGAACAAAAAAATTTCATTGAACATATGATTCCATAGTTAATTGATAACAAGTGATTATTGGTTACTTTTCGTTATTTTTTTTATCTTGGACTCAAAAAATTACAGGTTTTGAAAGTCTTCAACTAAATCTATGAAATACTTTAGTGTGAAATTTGAGTCCTCAGAATGTTCTAAGATATACAATTAATTGATATACTCTTTTATTCTACAGCCCTGTTCCCAGTTATAACTGGACGCGGAAGGGTGGTAATTTACCAAGAACAGCAATTTTGACCAGTTTCAATAGGGTGCTGATAATACCCAAAGTTCAAGTTGAAGATGAGGGAGAATATATTTGCCGTGCCTATAATGACAGAGCTAGCATTGAAAATTCTGTGATATTGAATATCCAAGGTAAGAACACATTTATTAAAAAAAAAATTGTACAAAGACATTTTATTTCAGCTGAACCCACATTCACCATTCCATTAACTGACAAGCATATGGATAGTAAGAGTGAACTTATTTGGACCTGTGAAGCTTTTGGAGTACCTGATGTAAATTATACATGGTGGAGAAATGGCAGGCAACTTGGTAAGAATTTTCATTGTTTATTTTCCTATGCTGACAGAAAAATGTATAAAGAAATGTCATGAAAATCAAGTACATGAATATTGAATTTTGGTAATATATTAAAGTGGTGATATAGGTACTGAAAGTTAATAAAATTTTCAGTGTAAAGTTTGATATATTACCTAAGAACAATTCAGATACATAAGTTGATGAAAATATTTTTTTTGTGTTCTAATATTCATTGGAAATATTTCTTAGGACATGAAAAGAACACTGAATATCTCCATTGCTGATATGAGTTAATGTCATTTGCTGGCTGCAAATATGTTAAATTATTCAAAATGAATCCTACTAGATAATAATTACTTTTAATGTCTGAAATTATAATAGTTGACATTGGGGAAATCAGTTTTTGAAAGTCGATTTAGTCATTTTCGAANGATAAACATAATCTCTATATTGCTTCAATTTCATTTCTCATTGCTACAAACGATTTAAATATGAATAATGAACTTCAGTAATGCTTTAAATCAATAAATTTCATAAAAAACGGAGTCTTTATTTTTATCAAAGTATTCCATAACCATGAATAATCACTTGTGGTAAATTACAATGTCTGCCATTATGAAACTTCCAGAACTGTACACATCTTTATTTAAATCTCAAACATTGAATGCTTTGCCATGAGAGTTCAGACATGGTTTGGATGCTGTAATGACAATCACACAAATGCGTCACAATGATATCATCTCTGGGAAGTTTTCTAGCAACTAAGGAGTCCCGCAGGGATCTAATTTGGGCCCTCTGCCATGTATAATATTATATTTACTAATGAACTCCCTAATGCTCTCTGATTGTCTCTTGTTTTCTGATGAATTCAAAATATGTAAAAAATCAATTCAGTAGAGGAATATGTTGAGTTGCAAAAGTTCGAATATACTTTTGTGTTTGTGAATGGGGTCGAATTGATAATTGGCATTTCAATATTCAAAAGATTACTAAAACAAGCTCCAAAATTCCGCTTCTTTTTCATTTATGAAATGGGGAGCAAGACGCTCAGGTTAGACCAAAACTAGATTTTGCTTCGCTAATTTGGTTTACAGAACATATTTACTTACTGAATGAAGGTGAAAAAGTTCACAACACATTTTCTCAGTATCTGTACTTCAAAAAATGTGACATATTTGATTACGCTGTATTTAGATCAGCTACTTCAAGAATAGAATTCAAAATACTTTCCCTAAATCAACATCTAAACGTATTAGCTTCAATACTGAATAAAAATCCTTTCATACTATGTTGATGTTCAATACATCTAAGACAATTAGAGCTCCTCTTACGAGCATTTTGAAATTAGCAAATGATTAGAGTTTACTGATCGATCAGGCACAAAATTGCTCTCGCAAATTCACTGTACCTTTTCACCCAATGTTAACTTACTCATTATAACTCGTGCCCACAAACATAGCGTTGGTGATCCAATACCAGCCATCACTGTTTCGAGGATGAAGTATGAATTCATTACTGTACTCAACTATCCTCAAAGGATAAGCCAGAGTTAGTGAAGCAATGACATCTCCTCATACGAAGATGCCTTTTATGGAGTTAATACAATACTCAATCTATAAATATCAAAATTATCCCATCCGATAGATGACGTCTTTGTAAGAAGAGATATCGTAGCATTTTCTTACCCGGGTTTATTCTTTGAAGATAATTGAGTGTAACCATGCATTCGTGGTTCAGCTTCATCCTATCAAAGATATTTTTACATCACTGTGTACATCACATTTACTCGATTATGGTTATCTCAACTTGGAGTTCGATATACTGAGTACAGTGTTGAAAATTATGCCAGAAGTAATACAGAAATCTTTTTGGAAGGAAGATGAAGTATTGATGAATTTATTTTCAGATTCGTGTTTGGGAAAGCGAACAAGACCTCAGCACTGCCAATGACACAATAATTCCTTTCGGTGGGAAATTAGAAGGATATGTTACAAATCTCTCTCCTGGAAAGACGTATAAATTGAGAGTTCTTGCATATTCAAATGGCGGTGATGGTCGTATGAGTTCACCAGAGAAAGTATTCCAAATGGGTGCGTTGAAACAACTTTACTAGGTCCACGTATGATTGCAAGTCAGTGCAATTGTTTCTTATTTACTTTTTTTATTTTCAGGTAAGCCGCAATTTTTCCGAAGCACAGCTATCAGCATAAGGATTAGTATATTCATGGTTACTTTTTCGATAGCAGTACATTTTCTGCTTAGACAGTTATGATACTTTTTTATGTAGATTTTAGTTTCGATATTTTTTGATTACTCGTATCAGACGAGGAGCTATTACTCCTAAGCAGGTCTGTCGGTAGTCATCCCCACCAATTGAAATTAATTTAAGCTTTTCATGTATGGAATGGAAAACGTTGCAAAGGTGTCTGATGGTTTTACTTCAGCTTTCTATGCAGCATTATCTGGGTTAGCTGTTGTTTTTCCGTAATGTATCTCCCAATCGCAGAAAACCCGTGTAGACCTCAGTGTAGTGGTATCTTCAAAAATGACCCTAAAATATTTTATAGATGATGTTAAGACTCGGTCCTAACGGTATCCATTTATTTATTTTTGCAAGTTTGGGCAGGCCACGGAATAGCAAACCCGCCTATGAGCCCTTCGCGACAGCGTGGAGTGGGGTGTGCTAGTGAAGAGCGAGCGCCAGTACGAGAGAGTTCCAAGGCAAAACAACATCAATGCATACCAAAAAATAATTTTGTTTTTATGGCAGTATAAGCATTGTATTTTGTGCGATTCATTTTAGTCACATTTAGTAGAATAAACACGTTACAAGTAATTGTGTTTAAAATCCAGGGAAACAACCCAAACAGATGATGTGTATTCTAAGTGCTGATCGTTTATATGATGTATCGAATTTCCTACCCACTCTTGAGAAGATATTAAAATGGCATTTATTTACATTAAGGAACAAGTTATTTGTAACACATCATTCATCTTCATTAGTCCAATCAGCCTGGGGTATGTTAAAAATCACCAAAGATGAAGGACTTCAAATGATTGTATTTCTGGATCACCTCCTCAACTGTGTGACAGTGATATCAATAAATTACACAAAAGTGTAAACATGAAATATATTCGAGAACACCATTATTAGAGTCTTCATTGCCATCCACGTTCGGACTTTCAACCTCTCCCAAATTCACTATAAATACAGCTACATTTTGTCAACTATACTGCATTCCTTTATATCATGGTGTATAAGAGCGGCAAATAAAACAGACTTTGATTTCTTTACTTTTGAATTCGAGTTTGGAAAGCGGCTAAATTCCGGGTGAAATAAGTGGTTTTTGCGAACGTCTTGTTGATAGGGAAATACATTCTGAGAGATATTTTCATACATATATATTTCGGACGGTTGTGGTTGTATTTCCACACGCTGACTTGTTATATATTGAAGAAATTGTTTTTGTAGATAATCTGTTATATACTGTTTTCTACGCGAGTTTTTTGTATACTGGCATCCATTTACCTGCATTTTTCCAATTGTGTTCAGTGAAAAGGATTTTGAATCCTTGGATAAACAAATAAATGAATACTTTTAAGTTTAGTATAGAAACCCCGATTGTTGGGGATCATTCGAATGGAAAAAATGAAACTCATTCAGTGTCGAAACATTTATCTTAATAAAAATGTCTCAAATATATTTTCATTCTGCTTGTCCTATCGATTCAACACCGAATGTATCCTCGGACATTTTCAAGTGATATAAATTATCTTTCCAGGTAGCAAAATTAGGTCTTTCCAACTCTGAACAAGCTCTGTAACTATTTCTGGGCCCAATCCGCTCCATGACATTTTTTTGTATAACATCCAAACCGTCGGATGTGTCACATATAATTGATGCTAAAGAAGTTTTCCTCAGTTCCGTCAATTGTTCAGGACTAAAAGCTTGAGGCGGATGGTAATTTTCATACCAAAATCTGTCACCGTGCTTTGTTCTATAAAACTGGTCCAGAATTGCACAAGTCAGGGTGGGGCCCAATAAACTTTCTTCTATTGGAATTTCACTTAAAGCACCTGAATATAAGTCAATGTCATTTGATTTTTTGTTTACTAAACCATCAAAATATTTCATAAAAGTAGGTGATGGTCATTAACTAAGTAATCGAACATTCGAAAGAAAGATCATATAGAAAAAATGTATTCTTGGGATATTTATTCACAATTATCATCACACTTCTAAGAAATATTCTGCATAAACGTTTCAAGAGATATATTGCCTCTAAGAATCATCTTAAAGTTAAAATCTATTTGTATTAATATGTAGCTAAGTCTTCGAGCCTTTTTTTTGTCAGAACTATTTTCAGATACTGAGGTTGGTTCAGAATTAGGTGAATAATATTTTCTATTTCTACCTAATTAGTGCTTTGTATAATAATAATCATGATAATATTTATTCACCATTTGCAATACATAGCGTATATATGATACGTCGAAAAAGAATAATTTAACAAAAAAACAAACATACTTTTCACAGTACATCACTTAATGAGATAAAACAATTGAAATTAATATTTGCATATACAAAGATATACACATTCGCCAACTTACATATACACTTATAAAATAATAAAATTGGAAATTTGGCAATTTTGCTTGTCGCAGTCATACATCAATATATAAAATAAGATAAAATCATCAGACGGAACACTGCAACTGAAGCATAAAACAATTAGTGAAACAACACAGCAAATAAAAATGTAATTATTCTTCTAGACGCGCCTTTTTCTCCCGCGGCTGGCTCCCCAATTGGAATATTTAAAAATAATGTCTTATTGCACATCTTCAATATGAAATGAATCTTACATACACGATTTCAGCTTCCGAAAATATAACGGTATAGAGAAACAGTGATGAAACATAATTTTGATATGCAAACGCTCCCCTTTTCCACCAGTAGAAGCGCCCCAATTGGAATAATAAAAAATCCTTTCTTATAGCACATCTACAAAATAAATCGAACCTACATACGAAATTTGAGCCTCCGAAAATATAGCGGTTCGGAGAAACATTGATGAAAAGGTAACTTTATTTTATGAAGTCCCCTGCGGCTTGCGCCCCAGTTGGAATAATTGAAAATCCTTCCTCATTGCACATCTACAACATAAAATGAACCTACATATATGATGAAAAGGGAATTTTTATATGTAAACGCTGCCCTTTTATCCCAAGTCCTGAATGTAAAAATCTCGGATTTATTTACTCCTGCTTAATAGACAACCCACCATCCCAGCAATATTCTGATAAAATAACGAACCTATAGGGCGGCTCTACTGATTCTTCTGAATTCAGAAATTTAAACCGTTACAAGGGCTTAACAAGAAAGTAATATTCAAAATGAGTTGTATACTTCTGTAAATGTTAGAAAACCAGAAAGACAAGATGACGGAAACTAACGGGATTCATGAAATAATTAAGCTGTGAGACTGCGACAAAAGTATGTTGGTTAAATTAATCGCAACAGTCCACTATTTACTTTTTCATAAAATACTTTTCCCAAAATTCTAGATTGAGTAATGATTCCCAAGAAAAATTGTGAAATTGTGAAAGTTCGCCATGTACAATAAGATATATGAATAATAACAATTACAAGAAGTCGAATTGGTATTTACAGAAAGTGATGTTATAAATGTGTAGCCGTCACTTTTCGTAAGTACCACTTCCACTTGTAATTGTTATTTATTATACATGTTGTACTATAGAGTTCCTGAAGAACAGCCAATTAAAGTCTTGAAAGTATGAACAGAACAAACAGTTTTCTTGTCTACGACTGCTTACTTCTTTCTCTATATGATTTTTATAAATTAGTTCAGTTTACCCTAATAAATATAGCTTTGGGAAAGAATAAATCAGTTGAAAAAGTAATACCTGTAGATTGTCTTTATATTATGTAAGGCATCGGGATGGAAGTCATCTTTCAAATCATCAAAATTTCTTGGTCGCTTCAGACCGCAGTGTTCTCTCCATGATGAATATCCAGGTAAGCCATGATCTCGACCCCTCTGAATATTTAGTGACACTAGGTCCAAGCCACATAACTTTGGTTGTTTCACTTGTTCGGATGTTTTTTCAAACATGTGAGATTTCAGCTGAAATAAGAAAATATGTTTACCGAAAAACTATTTCAATGGTTATTCTTATGTTTTTTCTCATTTACGAGTTGTCAGAAAGCAAGAGAAAGCTATTGTATAGGAAATACTTTTTCGTGATTTTGTAAACCTTTTCAGAGAGAATCAAAATAAATCTTATCAGTAGGTTATACAACAGAAATTTTCGACCGAGTTTGAATATTCTTAATAGGGGAAAGTCTCCTGAGAATTCGAAACTATCATATTCACGAAAAAAGAAACATAAAGTAGAGAATTACAGAAATATCTGTCTGCAGTCACAATTTCCAAAAGTTATTTTTCAAGGGCAAAACACAAGCACTACAGGAAAATCCTTAAGGCGCTCTCAGAGCGGTGCCTGTGCGGAAGTAGCGATTTACATTGGATCTAACATACCCTTAAAGGTCTTTGTAGAGAAAAAACATCAAATGTCAGATCGCCAGCATGGTTTTGAAATTAACGGTCAACTGATTATATAATATCTCAACTTCATCATTAAGTATATAAATTCCTTAACCAAAGAAATATTCTTTTTTTTTTCTTCAGGAGTTACTTTAAAATAAACTGTATCTTAGTGGTGTTAGAAGTGTAACAAATTACTGGGTAGTATCTTATTTGAACAATCGAACATACCTAGTTAGCTTTTCACATATAGTCAGTGGGCATACTTGAAGACTATAAATCAAATTATCTAAAGGAATAATTCGTTCAGCCAGCCTCAACTCCCTACACTGTAGGTTAATGGACTGGCACCTATCAGAAAACAACTACTCCCCTGGCTAATACCACTAAGGGCGTTGGATTATATCCGACAGGTGTCAGTGCAGGATTCTTCACTGACGTTATTCATACATATGCTGTTGGCGATACAACTACCGCAATAGATTTTCAATTATTGGAACACACTGGCAGACCGGTTTCGGGCTGTTTGGTCACTCGTCAGTGCAAGATAGTAGCCATCATCAACATAAAGTCGATGACTTCCGGGAGTTGAGGCTGGCCTGAACGAATTGTTCCTTTAGATAAATTGATTTATAGCCAGTCTTCAAGTATGCGTACTGACTATATGTGAAAAGTTTTATTTCTTTATGCGAGGAATTGGGCAAATTTCAGATATGCAGTTGGTTAACTCGTTCACAGGTAGATGGGGCGATGACAACTCTGTTGTTTGTTATCCACATCAGCCTAGTTCGAAGAATGATACTCTGAAGGAATTCCATTTTCAATTATGGGAAGTCATCTTGATAATAGACACTACCTTGCACTGACGAGTGGCCAAACAGCCCGAAACCGGCCTGCAATGCTGCTTATGAGAGAATTGTGACTTAATTACTTTTACTCGAACAGCAAAGTGTGACGATCCCGCTGTGTATTTGGTTGGATAGATGTTATTTCGAGCGGTCATTTTATAAGTTTAACAAAAGTTAAACTTTATGCAGCAGCTCGCACATATCTTAAATATGGGTGGGACGTGTCTCTTGGTTAGGAATAGAAAACATTTTTTTTTGTAGTTTAATATATATGGCTATATTATACGTTTACATTGATGCACAATCTAAGAGGACACAAATTCGTTCAGTACATGAGGCATGAGACATTTCACGTGAGTATCAGTTATACAAGTATATTACTAAAATTACAGCTCGTTTTTAAAAAAAAACTTACGCATCTCGCCGTAGATCATCGAACTTTCGGAGCACAGCAACTTTATACTTTCCGCACTTTTTAGGAATCTCCAATTGAATCTTTATTCAATTGGTTCATCTTTTACTAATTTATAGCTACATGGCTATTTAACTGAATCTAGAATCTAATCTAGTTCTGACTCTCTGAATCTGACTCTCAGAACTCTCTTTGTCTGATTCTTCACTCGACTCCGACTCGACTCTTCATTCGACTCTGACTCGACTCCCTGATCTGAACGATATTGGCTTATTTATACATCTCTCCCTGCCATCAAAGTTGGCCTAATTATCCCTACTCATGTCTTGGTGTATGTGAGAAGGTCACTGGCTTACAATATCGAATTGTTCATAGATATTTCGCAACAGGATGATACACAAAGAAATTGCTGAGTAACCCATCTGTATATTGTGCAACACCCATTAATTTTAACGAATTTCTCGTGTCGTTTATGGTCCAAAACTGGACACTCGTGTGACCTCGTTTACATGGCCTTCCGCGTGTCGAACTATTGCAACATCAGATATGTTGAAATGGTTTTCACGTGTCGAACTATTGCAACATCAGATATGTGGAAATTTCCCTCTCTTCTGACTGAGTCACGTTTCAGTTTTCAAGATTTGATAATTTAATTTTCTTTCTTGCTGAGCTCCGTGGTTCGAATGTCTAAGGTTAGGTGAATACACTTTTGATTGAATATTAACTTTGACTTTGGAAACTCATATATTTATTTATTGATATACATCTTTATCGCGGTTGAATTCAAATATTATTATATCTTGAACTCAAATAGTTCATGGATCATTTCAAAATTATTTATGGGGTTGGTACAAAAGAAATAATTGCATAGATATTTGTTTCTAATAAAAGTCTGTTAAAATCTGTTTTTCCGTTAATCATCGCGAGCCCCCTACGAACGACAAACCTTATGCGGGCTAAGAATTAACATCGTCTTACCTTTCAACAGGCGATTCCTAGCACAATGAATGATTTGTTTAGAAACATCAGTTCAGCTTTCTGTATCTGTATCTGTAGAGTAGGGAGGGTGATTGTAGACACACAGCACTTAGGCCTGCAGAGGCAGCCGGTTCCTTGCCTTTATTCAAGGCGGAGCTCTTGGCGCCGACCGCAGGAAGTGCCCTTGCTGTTGGAGGTGGAGTGGGGGAGGAGGGGGGTGCACTTATAGTTGCTGCCACTTCTGCATCTTTCGCTCTCTTTCTCCTTTTGGCCTCGGCGGCGCAAATGCGCTTACGCTTTGGCCTTTGTATCACATCACCAGGTGATCTGCTATGTCCAGCCTCATTCCAAACGGTGGATTGGGGTGGATATTTCTGTTCATCCCCAGCCACCGCCTTAGATTAAGGTGAGCACTTCTGTCCAGCCTCGGGATTGGTTTTTGTTTTTGTTGTTTCTGTTTTTGTGTGGTTTCATTCACGTGTGTTCCCACGAGTAGCAAGGGAAGAGTTGGTCACCTCTGGCAGAGCTCCGCATTACCAGAGGTAGGCTGATTACAATGAGGTTTCGCCCAGTTTCCCAAGTGGATCGTTCGTGACCGCATATCACCCTGCGGCCATTCAGCTTTCGGCACGATTCCTCACACCTTAGCTTGGGTAGACTGGTGCACGGTGGCATATCACTTTAGCTTTATTCTAATATTTCAATAATTACCAATTCCTTACCCATTTATCATATTCATCAGTTTATACGAGGCAATTACCTGATCTGTGAAATAAGGATCACTTGCTTGAATAGTTGTATTCATCGCTCCTCTCAATGTTCTATCTAGTTCTCCAACTTTGTACAACTCGAAGGGATTGAACAACATTTTGTGCATTTGAATATATTCTACAGAAGATTCGTTGGATAAAAGCTTCATCAGTCCAGGAATTATTGAGTGTGCAAACCTAAAATTTGCTGCAGCAAAGTTATTTGCTATGGAAGGATCTATCTCTTCACTGTAGTTCTTGAAATAACCTTTTTTCATAGGATATAAGTCGAATTTCTTCATTAAGTTATCACCTGAAAATATATCAGATGATACAATAAGACAGTGATATTAAAATAAATGTTTTGCATAATAGTTTCGGACCAAATCAGAATCATTCAATATCTCCAAAGTATAGAAATAGATTTGATTATTTTCTCACCTGCAATTCAAATAGTTTGAAAATTAAGTAGAAAAAATTAAAAATGGCTTGAGTCCAAAATTGAACACAGGAACATTGGCAATCCAGTCCAACGTTCTAACAACTACTGCAAGAAGAGTTTACAAACTGGTATGGCGGAAGGCTATTTAAGTTCTCAATTATTATCATTTTATTATAAAGTGAGGCACTTTTCAAAAATATCAATATTTTCGTCACATAACAAATTGTTGGTGGGAAACACTCCCTTTCACTTCACGAGTCCACGTTTTTATTCCATTTCTTCGTTAGAAACTTTCAATATTTCAAAACGAAATGTCAGTTCATTGAATAAGTTTGACGTTTGATATTTTGCAGTAGAACATATTTAAGATTTATCTACCATTAAAAACGAAACACAACTGTAAAATTATGAATTTGCTCATCTGCAATTGACTTCGATGGTGAGTTATGAATCTGGTCAACTGAAACTGTCACACATAACTGATGAGTTCAGTCATAGAAAAAGTCTAATATTTGTCTGTTATTAATTTTCATCGTGCATCAACCAATTCCATTACATATCTCACTGACGAGTCTGAGCAGGTTTTTTTGATACTTTTACATTTTAAAGTAATTCTAGGATGTGCTTTATTGAGTAAAAATATTTGTGTTTTTGATATATGCTAAATTTATCATACCAAAGACATTTAAACAGATCATCTCTGAATGAATCAAATGCGGAAGAGTGAAATAATTGAAGATAGAGAGGGTTTCACGAACAAATCACAGTAATGTATTATTACGTATCAACCAATATCATCATATGTTATCTAATTATATTATGTATTTCACAATCAGAACTATATTATTCCAAATTGATTTTTTTGGCAGAAATGCATAGAAGATTCAACATAGGTATAGTGACACGGAGTTCGAAAAACAAGGGTGTGGTCAGACGGTACCCGATTGGTTAGTGTTAGTAGTTAGTTCTTCTTATAAACTCAACTGTGAATGCTGGCTCGATTCCTACTCTGACAAGATGGCTGTTAACTGCGTATCGTCTGATCCATGCGAGAAATTTTATATTAGAAGCAAATACCTCGTTAATCCTCAGCTCGCGCAAGTTTCGACTTTTGAAGAGTGTCATTCGTATAGGAACGACAACTGGTTAGGGGAAAAACCTACTTTTTGCATGTTCCAAATTTCAATACCAGTTTCTCAAGTATATCATTTACCGCCATCCCTACATCATTTTCGAAACTAGTTTTCAAGGTTCTTTCAACGAAGTCATTTACTATAGGGGATGTGAGAATTGAAAGATTTGTATTGCAGCTATAAGGGAGCGTAACACGAATATATTTTCTATTCCTGTTTTCAGTGATACTTCCATTCTCTCGAATTGGTAAAATTATCCCTATAATTCATCTCATGGAAAAAATATGAGTGGATGATAATGAGAGTTTAAACTTTTTTACATCGTGACTGGTGAGGATACCTTGGGGCTCCTCTCCAAGTTTTTACTATATTTTATTTCATTTTGCATTTTGCACACTTCATACATGAAAATTACATTTTTTCTATTTTGAAAAATGAGAAATAAAACTTCGTATGTTTTTATACCACTTTCATTTGTAACTAACGTTACTGCAGTTTCGTTCTACAAGGACATTTTCAAACGAATTTATTGTATTCGCTTGAAAATGTCCTTATAGGACGAAACTGCAGTAACGTTTGTTATAAATAAAAGTGATATAAAAACATGGAAAGTAGTAATGGCTACATCCATCAATCTATTTTTGTCAGTTGTTAATGACATTTTTGGTATAATTACAATAATTACTTGAAGATGAACCAAGTGGCCGAAAACATGTCGTAATGAGGGGAAATAATAATGAAATTGACAGAACTAGCAAACTCAATTTCAACTATTTATTGAAAGCCACACACAGCATCCTACCAAACAAAGCACTGTTACTCCTTTCATTAGTATTTTTATAAATATTTCCGCCCTCAAATGCTGTTGAAGTATATTTATACTCATTCGAACAATTGTGTTTGTGTCTCCCCAAGAATGCAGGAGCCCTAACCTATAACTTATCTAGTTTATACGTAAATCCTGCACTGGAAACAAGTATAGTTTTGCATGTACAAGTAATGAAGTGACAAAATAGTGGTGGTTGAAAATGATACGTGTGTTATAAATTAGCAGATATGAACTGAACTAGGTGCGATATCAATTTGAAAACTTCCTACCCTCAATATCTTTCTTCCAGTAAATAATAAAGATCGATAAGATAGGTCAGGTTAGCTCAAAAAATTCAAACTCGACCAAATGAATCCAGCTTCTTAACGAAGCCGAACAGTTTGTTTGGAGTATGATTTTTCAGGTCTGCTGGCGAAAGTGTAATTCTGCATAATAGTGAAAAACCGATTCGATTAGCGGTGGAGCAGACGCAGAGTATGTGCTTTGCTGTTTGATTGTCTTCCAAACAGAGATGACACGCCGGAACCTCTGTCAGTCTAATTTATTTTTGGAAAACCTCAAAACGATGCCAATGACAAGTTCTGGTCCGATGAAATCGCCTGAAGCGGTTTCCTTTTCTAGATAGTCAGCAACTTCCCTACGTTCCAGACCAGTCTGGCCAGTAATCTACAAATTGCTGTGACTTTCTGTATCGACCAACAATAGTCTTCTGTACTCCGCATGAGCTTGCTGTTTGGTGCAATTAGCAAACATTTCTCAGTGGCGTACGTGATACATTTTTATTTATAGTATGAAAAGAGTTTTCGGGCTCTTCCAAATTATTTCCCGATATACGTTTCGTGAATAATTGACTTATCTTCAGAAAAATATTAAGCCTACGAGAATAATTGGTCTTAATATGGTCAATATGAAGAAATTTTGCATACGAGATCTGTTGAAAAAATAAGGTGAATTTTCATTTTTCCAAAAAAATATTTATTTTTTCATCAATTTCTACTCTGTCCTCTTCAAAATAGATCCGTTCAAATATAATATACTTCTCCCATCGTGTTTTCCAATTCTCGAAGCAGTTCTGATATGCACTTTTTGGTATGTCCTCAAGCTATCTCACCGATTCGGTTTTTATCTCCTCAATCGTTAATCGTCGCAAAACGTCGTCCATTCATAGGTTTCTTCAATGTTGGGAACAGAAAAAAGTAGCTGGGGGTCAAATCTGGTGAATACGGTGGCTGAGGCATGATTACGGTGTTGTTTTTGACCAAAAAATTATGAACAAGCAACGACGAGTGATCAAGTGCATTATCGTGATGTAAAAACCATGCTTTGTTTTTCCATAATACCGGAAGTATTGATTTTCGCAACCGGGGCATAACTTCAAGGTAATACTCCTCATTGACCGTACGACCATGTGGCAAGTACTGTCGATGCACTACGCTAAGGTAATAGAAGAAAATAGTGAGCAAAACTTTGACATTTGATCGAACTTGACGTTTTTTTTTGGCCTTGGCTGGATCAACCCGATACAATCGGGTTCGTTGACTGACTCCGAATAAAGATCTGCCAGTAATACTAACTGATACAATTTACTATAAAATTTTCACTATAAACCACGACACGTGTTTCGCTTCACAATAGCTTCCTCAAGCGGGAATGATAAATTACTTATATATTCACAATCATTTTATACTCTACAATATTATCTATTACTACTCATGGTCAATCAACAACCTAGTTGAACCAATAAATGATTTCTGGCTTGAAAAAGCTATTGTATAGCGAAACACATGTGGCGGTAAAACCCTTATAGCGAAAATCTTACAGTATAGGGTATCAACTAGTTTCATTAGGAATTTTCATCAAGTATCCAGTTTTTGGAGGTAGATTTAGAATCCGGTACAAAATATTTCATTCGAAAGTTTCAGGAAAAACTTTTGAATTGCCCTCTGAGCTGCGTTATTTCTGAAATACGATGATTAGTAAAATTACATGATTTCTACACCTTACCTAGCAATATTGGCAAAAATTCATTGTAGGTTATATGCTGCATTTGTGCAGCTACGATACGTCGTGTCTCTTGAAAAATTCGTTCGTCGTCCCAATGGGGATTCATGTCGGATACATTTTTTGCCAATAAATTATGTTGTCGCACCCATAGTAAGTGCATTGCTGTCAAATGCAAATTTTCATTAGCTCTGGGATCACCTAAAATAAATGCATTCTATCATACGAGTGGAAAGCAAGGACAGGAAAAAATATGCAGGAAGTAACAGTGAAAAAATCGGAAATATTCAGGGAAAATAGACAGCAATAGTAGAACATAACAGCAAGATTGAGTAGGTTAAATATACAATACGAAAAATGTTAATTGAAATTATAAAAAATATTATAGAAATCGTGACAGAAATTTCTTGACATTTTCAAGATCGATCACAATTATAAATAGAACAAAAAAAACGGAAAATCATAGTCAGAGATAGGTAACCGACAACGAAGATAAACCCTAAAACCAATTATTGAAGCTATGTGTGAACGAAATTATTTTATTTTATTTTAGGGAGGCAATCGAACAGCATAGGGATTCACTAATGAGTTCTCCATCTTTGCAAATAACTTGAAAAAAGAAAAGAAAGTAAATATAATTTTTACCTTTCCTGGTCGGAGTCTCAAAAGTTCTTTTCAAATGTATAAGGTAATGAGTAATTAACCATTATCTAAATCCGAATAATATCTATTTTAGTATTCTGAACCAATCTAAATCATACTGAAATTGGTTTTAATTTAATAAGTTCACTTGACGGATTTCAAAGTATATTTTGTCTTAAGAAAGCTACATTATCAGAGAGTAACATTTATTTTAAATATATGTTTAAGATATGTTTTTCCGTTAATCAGCTGTCGCACCCCTACGAACGACAACCCTCAGAAGTCGAAACTTGTGCGAGCTAAGGATTAACGAGGTCTTACCTTTTAACACGGGTTGGACGATAGCAAGTGAAAATTGACTCACACATGGGTCGATTAAGAGAGTGAACAAAGCACCCCGTCGAATCGCCGGACTATCGACCTACCATAAACTGTAACTTTGATAGCGAGTAACAAGGTATCGAAAATTCGCCTATGAAAGTCATTATTTGATGTGCACATATAACAATTAATTACACGTTAATTACATTACACACAGAAAATTAGGTTGTCTTTAGTCAAAATAATCGCCATTGAAATTAGTCGATAAAAGCACAGGTAGAATCGAAAGACAATGACTTTAGTATTATATTAATCCTTGTGCACGTAAATAGTTTCATAATTTAGGATGTTCATATATATGTAAATTTCACTTAAAATTATTTGAATCAGACCTCTGGTTAACAAGTTACACCGGATATAAAAATTTTTGAAAATAATGCCGCGGTATGAGCGATCTACGCGGTTGAATTAGTTGTTATATTTTGTGTTTCACACGGACGAACTCGCGGGAAAAACTATTGAAAAAATTGTAGTAACTGCAGTAATAATAAAAATTTGATGATACTTAAGAATGGTTCATTATTTAGATATTTCCTTTCGAATCCGCTTTGAATATTGTAGAATTATTGTTTTTTGAGTTGAAATATTGTGAATTGTTTGATATTTTTCTGGAATTCAGTAAAAGTTTCGCTGACAACAAAATTTTCTCCAGATTTGAAATCTAAAATGAAATATTGAATTTTTGACGACATTCAAACAAAACTTCAATGAAATGAATAAAAAATATTGACAAAATTGGTACAAGAATTCTTGCTTAATTTTATTTGAGTCTGAGTTGAATTTTGATGAATCTGATGAATATTTCATGAAATTCTTGTAATTTCTAATTCATAGTTTATTTCCTGATGGCGCCAAGCCATCAATGTCCATTAAGATTTATTCAACGCTAGAGGTCATTTCGTAACCTCTTCTATATTCCAAACTAGATTTGATCAAGTTTTTCTCTACTCATTCAGAATACTTCAATCAAACTAATAGGGAATATATCAATACACAATATCGTTCTGCAAGAGACATTTCCAGGTCTAAATGATGTCTTATAAATAGATGTCAACAATTCAAAGTCGAAACTACACATGGAGCAATGAATCATTACACATGCGTCATAAATACCTAACGCAATAAAAAAACATACTTTTGTATAGCATACATTTCTCCTAGAACTGAAAAACCACAAAATAGATAAAACTTTTATGTTGAATCAGCAGCATCGTGAAGAGATAGGCTTATACAAAGGTGAATATAAAATATAATATAGGAACATTGGCTATTTATCAGTCGGAGTGACAACTAGAGAGAACAAATCCATGCTGGTAGGCAGTTGTCGAATGGAACTTTTGAATACTGCGGCAGGCATCTTTAGTGGTATACGTGTTGACTACGAAGATGAAGGTAGTATTTCAAAGTTACCGTGAGTTATTGCTGAGACTTCGAGATACAATTTCCTTTTCGCAATCAACGCATACACCACTGAAAATGCCTGCCCCAGTAGTAGATGAAACGTTTGGTACTACAAGTTCCACGATCACGACCTACCAGCCCAGAGAACTGACCCAAAATCGTGACATGGGGTAAATTTGAAAAATAAAAGCAACTCTTCATCAAAAGGTAAGGTTGTTCGTAGCGGTAGCCACGTTGTTTCATTTTTAATTACTTTGCTGATCTATATCGGATGCAGAAATTGAAGACGCATTTGTTAAAATCCATTGACGATATCGTACCTGACATGAAACAGTATTTTCCATTTCGTTCTTCTTCTTCCCTATTACAACCATCTTCCAAATCTTCAGAAAGGGGGAGTAACGTGCGCCCGTCTGAAGTAACAAACACCTTCATTGTTCCATTTTTCATATCCCGCAATACTTTCACAAACTCTTCATCCACACTGTAGATTACAGAACCGTCAATAACCGGTGTAGCTTGATTCAGTTGTTCCCGTGGTCCAAAGCAACATGTCGGAGATGGTGCTGATCTGACGAACTCTATACAACTGACGTTGTATTCTCTGAAAGGGTCCTCTTGGTCTAGGTAGACCGGAAAGCATTCAGGAGAAGATTCAGCCGGAGGGTCGCAACAAGATATCGTACTGCCATTGGATTTTTGGCTCAGGGCTGTGGCGGTAATGTCGTGGTCTAGGAACTGACCCCAGACAGCTAGCATTACTGTGAATTTCGGATCGCTCTTGTAATATGGCCGGTGGCAAAATAAACTGACTGTTCTGGCTGATGGTAGTGCTGATCCATTTTTTGATACTCTTGGTTTACTGATACCTAAAAATGTCATTTGAATGAAATTTGTGTTTCACCATTACTGGGTTAGGAAGGGTAACGTTGCTTAGTAGTACGTATCCTCTGAAGAAAAAATATTTAAAAAATAGGATAATTCAAATAAAACAATGAATATTACTGGAGTTTTTTTCCAACACCAAACCGTTATTTTTACNTGTATGTTATTTTGTGTAATAGTATTGTTTTCATATGCTTTGTCAATAAGATTTTTTTCTTAGACAATAAAGTACAGTGATTGATTGATTGATTGTAAAAAGAGGAAACTAGGCTAATCATAACTCAATTTTGAGGTATTTGAAAATTGTTAATAAATTCGCAAAAAGAAAATGAATCTTTGACATGGTATGATTGTTCGTGTGATAAGAATTTGTTAATAAATTCATCAAAATTTTGCAGAGTTCAGATAGTTCGGAGGATCAATGGTAGATACGGTGGGTCTCATCGATAGGGTTGGTTTATGGATTTTTAGTAACGAATAAAATTGCGGTCCTACGGAAGTATATACCATTAATGTTTTAGCAATTGCAGAATCATCTTTTTGAGAATTTTTTGAATTTGTGACTAACTTGTTAGCTTTCTGTTGTAAAGTTGAAGTTGATCAGATCTTAAAATAGAATAATATTTATTATTTTTCAATAATAGTTCCCATTCATAAGTAAATAGAGTTTTATTCATGACTACTGTAGCAAAATCTTTGTCAATGTTTGTGATAATCATTTCTGAATGTTTGCTCAGATATTGTTTGGCTTTATTCTACAATTCCGTCAGATAATGTTCGGTTTTTGTGAAGAAAATTCGTGAGTATATTCGTTACTTGATTTCTATAAAGATTTCTTTGAGTATCTTCAAAATTTTCTATTATATGTTCCAAATCTGCTAATATAACAGACACGATATGTTGATGTCACGCTTATTCAGAGAAACACTGAATTTTGAACCAAGTGATACAAAACCTTGGATATCACTTAGAAAATTGAAAACAGTTATGTTTTCAAGCCCATTTTTTTGGAACGTTATTATATCAGTTTTCAATGCATTTATTTTCTGAATATATTCATTCTTTATATGATGGAAGTAGCGATTATAATTTGTATTCGATCTACGTTTGAATTCAAGGAAGATATGATTAGGTATTATGGATGTTAATTTACTGTCTAGTTGTATTTGTTCTCGGGTGAGTTTAGAGATATCACACATAGTTACTTCAATTTCTAGATTCAGAATATTCTTTTCCAATTTCAAATTGAAATTATTGATTTAATGTCCCGTTCTTCCTTTTTGACGATTCATAAGATTGGTGACGTTGTGAATTCCATTAGACATATGTATGTTCGGGAAACAAATTCTTCTGCCTGCATTTTAGTTAAAATATTTTCTGTTTCGTAGTGTTGCCAATTTGATGTTGTCATTAGCCCAAGTCTTCAAGAATCTCACGCTAGCTGCTCCATAGCGTTGATGAATTTCTTGGTTCCCCTTCGCAGTCCACTGTTTGGACTGTATTTTTGTTTCAGCCGTATAATGGTGTATTCAAGTTTCATGTGCAGTAAACTTGGAATTATTGCACCTAAACTGTGCCAACAGAGTGTTGGAAATGTTAATTTCTAGCACCATTTGGTGAACTTTGGCGGCGAAATTTTCGTCGGTAGTTGTAATTTTTGGACGTCCCGAACGTTCGTCTCCTCCCAAACTCTTATGGCCACGTTTAAATTCAGCTGCCCAAAATTTCACTGTGGTAAATGATGGTGCAGAGTTCCCATACACAGAATCCAACTAATCTTTGATTCGCCTCGGCGCATTGCCTTTCAAAAACAAATATTTAATGACAGCTTGATACTCGATTTTATCCAATTTCATAAAAACACTTACATGAGTCCACTTAAACGACTGTTACACAACAGCTGCGCATCCAAAATGACTGAAACTTTGATGGGTAACTGTCAACAGATAAATAACAACATTCACTAGCTTTCATTTACGAATGCTGCTATCTTCATCTTGATACACTATAATTATCATTTGCACCATACAATTTAAATAATATCTGAGGAGTTCTCGCAAAATTAGAACTATCGTGCGAGAAAATAAATTCTAACGGCAGGCTAACCAAAATGAGAAAGACTGGCTTAGTTTTCTCCTGAAGTTGCTAATTTGGTAGCGAAACATACGTTGGGAGACACTGTTTTTGCTCTGGTGATGGAAAAGTGTTCTCAATAAATTAATTTTAGGCCAGAGTTTCCAATTCTATCTATTCAACCTGTCCTGAACATATTGGCCTGATAGATAACATGCTTGCTAGTGCCAATGTATATCACCTGTGATGTATCTCTCATGAACTAAATGATATTCATATTATTATCATAATCATAATTATTATTATTATTTTGCTGATTTAATCGACTTTGTATCTCTCGGGACACTGATTTCCAGAAAACTCAGAAATCCCAGGCAACAAAAAAATGATGAGTGTCCTGGACATGGATCATCAACTCCAAATATGTGCCCCGAACCAGCTGTGGAAGTGAAAAAAATATGGCACAGTACCATACCAGCGAATTCGGAATCAGCACCCCAAAACCCTCTTAAACAGCTGTAACTTAGTCCGTGAGAGATGAAAAAAATGTTTGTTATGTATATAATGCAACACATACAGTGCGTCTATGAAGTAACGTGTAAATTAACTTATTCAAGTAAGACTTCATTGTGAGATTTTTTACAAAATCGCAACACGCGTTTCACTATACAATATGCTTTTCAGAAGTATGGTTAATACAGCCTCAGTATGAAGAATACAACTTAAATACATTCTACTGGATGTCTATCAAGTATTGACCAATTTCATCACATACCATAAATTACCATAAATTAGTTAGCTGAATAAACAATATTAATACAAATTCGTGAAAAAAAATTCTTAGTTTTCATCTGATGACTAAGATCTTAATGAAATTGAAAAAAAAATTGGTATCAGTGAAATGGAGCTACACCACTGGAAGTAAAAATGTATCTCGATAAAAGTTGCTTGTTCTAAAGTTGTTCGTAATAGGTGGAACGATATTCTGTCTGTTCTCTCGATGTGACACCACCTGACTAATTTTTATGAAGTTATTTGAAATCTGAAGTCTTCTACAACAGAGCAATCAACAACAATGATTTGAAAGACAGAATAAGGCTGAAACCATAACTATACAAACTGTTTTGAATTAATTTCAGCGAAGCTTTCATTGAGAGAGATTGTACGTTTATTGTCGAAAAGATTAAACTTCTCGTCGTCAAACATATTGATACAAAAATGAGTTATTGTAATCAAAAACAAATAAAAACCTTCATTTAAACCAAATACATATTTTATTATCAAGAACCAAGGGGCGCCCAATTTGAACATTTGATTTGAAATGTTTTATGTTACTTTGCTTACCCAGTGACGTTAAAAATGTTTTCAAAAAAAAAACTTTACATCATCCTCATAAGAACTATCAGACGCACTGTTATTCTATTTAAATGTTTTAAGAAGGATGTTGTTACTCCAGGGGAATTGAGAGAGAGGTATACAATTATTCTTAAAAATGTTCATTTCAGAATCAAAAATTGAGGTATATCGAATGTTTTTATAATATTGTTATAATTTTTCATTATTACATTGAGTAATAGCATAAATTATATTGAGTGAAAATTTTCATTACAAACTTCAATACACCCGTTTACAGTGTAATAATAAGAGAAACATGTAATAAACGAGCCAAAATTGCATGTAATTTGCTGATTTCGCATAAATGAGTTGGTACTGGTTTTTACCGATGAGCCTGCTTGCAGATTTAATTATTCATCATCAAGTTTCATTGGCAATATCAACCGCTCAAGATAATGACAAAACTAAATTTCTTTATAATTGGACTGGTGAGAATTCTGGTATAATTGCTTTCTTGTCCAAGTCACATATTTACAATGCACTATATATGGAGGCCAGAATGAGGAAATGAATACTTTTACACTGTTCGTTAATTATCACTCACGTTACAGGTCACTATCAGTCGGTTTTCGAATATAATGGTTTGAAACGGATAAAATATTTTTAGGCATTGACAATTTTTCAGTGACGCATCGCACTTATTTTTTTTAGATAAATAGATAATGTATTTGACCATGTATGTTTAAAAGTTTAAGATCGAAAATTTGCAAAGGATCAAATCATTGTAAACTGGAATGGAAATAATAAATGAGTTAAACAATAAAGGAATAGTCACTGATGTACAAATAATGAATTAAAAAAAACAAACCGACGATGTTACGGGTGATAGTATCCACAATCGTTTTCGAGTGATATATGAGAGTTTTTGAATACCATAGCCATGGCATTCGGTATTTTTAGGGCATGGTAAAAAAACTTCATATCAAGGTAGCACCTTCATACAACTTCCACAACCAAAGAATATTTTCGACTATACCTTATTGAAAAAATATCCACTTACCATCTGCGTAATCTGGAGGCAAAGTTCTTCTGAACGGTCTGTATGCCACCCCATATTCCTCAGGATACTTCAGATTATTGCATGTACCATTGTATGTTCTATATTTTGATAAACGATTGCATAGTGTTATGTTCCTCCGGCAATAATCAGCAGATGTCATATTTTCTGCATGACAAATTTTTTCTACGATGTTGTTATCAGTTTTATTCCTGAAAAATTCAATGACAATTATGAAACTCACCTGAATATAGTATCAGATATTACCCTCTCAACGAGTTTCAATTTAAGAGCCACCGGTAGACAGCTGTTTCAGCCTATAGGGCATCATCAGTACCGTCAGTGGATATTAATAATTTCAGTTTTTTGCTTGATATAATTGTTATTTTTCAGCTAATCTTTTTAAGTTTTTATAGATTCTTTCAGGGATTTAAATTCAATTTATATCATATTCGACAATGGAAGTCCGAACTAATGAAATGCACTAGTTCTGAATATTCTACGAGTTACATAGTTGTTAAAGTTCGAGAACATCCATACTAGATAGACACTGGTAACTATATAATGATCTAACTTTGAGTAAATCGTCTCTTGATGTAGATGATCCGTTGAAAAAATTCTATTTTTTAATATTAGTTTCAAAATTGAGTTCTGTGCTGTTTGTAAGCTACTAATGAAGGTATCAGGGAAGATCATGGCCGTATCCATGGCCATATCATCAGCATAAAACACTGTATGACCGTCGAGTTTATTGAACTACGTTATTGTGTTTATGTAAGTGAGAAAAAGGATCGGGACAAGTACTGTTCCCTGAGGTATACCCACATTGATTGGTAATGTAGCACTAATCTTGCTACTAATGTTAACAGATTGTATTCGTTCTTCAAAATAATACTGCATCAGTTCCAAAGCATGACCTATAATACCAAAATAACACAATTTCTCGAGTAGGGTTTCATGCGACACAGTATCAAAAGCCTTTGCCAAGTTAATAAATACCGCAAGACATTTCAAAGACTCGTCCAAGGCCCCTTCTGTTTGTTCCACAAAGTCGAGCACGGCATTTTTTGGATTTGATTTGTTTATTAACTCAAATTTTTGTTGCGCTATTGTATGATGAAGAAATATATTATTCGATTTTTGACAGATTGTTCGAATAGTTTAGCAAAATTATTGATGACAAAAATGGTCGGTTAATGCACATATCACTTTGACTTCCAGATTTGAAGGCTGGAGTTACTCTACTAACTTTCCACTGGGACGGTATATTACCCTTTTTGTGACACAAATTTATCAAATGAACTATACTTTAATTCCAAAATAGTATGCAGTAAATTCTCAGAAATTACTGACATTTTTGTATCAATCTTGCAGTGGCATAACGAAATTATACTCAACAGATGAGGAAAAAGGATGATAAACTGTACAGAATCACAACTATGATAAAAATGTGTTTGTTTTAATGTTATTATATTTCTGAGAATTCAGTGCCTACTATTATGGAATTGTACTATAGGGGCTTCAAAAGATATTTATGCATATATTTTACTAGTTTGTTATTTATTCCGTCAGGATCTAGTTGAAAGGTTGTTCTTTATTTTATGTACCTTCAGCAATTAAAATTGATATGAGAGTCATAATGTCAGTACAGGTTTGTTGCACAATGTTCATTTGTTGAAACAAATATGAGATAGTTAGTATTGAAATACGAGAAAAGAAGGGTTTCTCATCTGAGTGAACAATTCAATCTTTTTTTATGAATACACACTGCAATCTGAAAGCGGTAGCTGTTCAAATGCATTTCTGTAGACTAACTTAATTTTAAAATGACATGTGAATGTATTTTGAATACAATTAAATTCTCAGACTTATTTTTGTATGAATTGCATAAGAGAGTAGATTTTTGAATAAGTTGACTTCGAAACATCACTAGAAATGATAATTTTACTATAGTGCATTGAAAAACATAGGCATAACTTTGAGCGAAGATGTAAATCAAATCTCACCTATGAATATGTTTCGTAGCATATTCCTCGATGAATCCAATCCTTGATAAGTTTCTTCCTCTCTCACTCGTAGCTACAACTCTCTGATGCCGATAACTGGGACTTCTCAGTTGAAGTGATGGGACATGTTTTTCAATTTCATCTTTCTCCTTCAAACCTTTCTTTCCAAATTCAATGGCTTCTTCCCACAACTGCGTATCATTAGTAGATCTAATAGTATTCCTTACATCTTCAATTGGTAGGTTATTTGATAACAGAATAAAGATGGGAGAAACAAATTCAGTTTCGTTTAATGGATTATCATTAGGTAATGCTGAATTCCCAGCAGATTCCTCTTCATTTATACTGTATACCACTGTTATGATTAGTGTTATTAGAAACAACGATCTGAAAAAACATGCAAAAATCAGATTCAAATTGCACCAGATCGACCATTAAAAAATAAATTGTTGTTTCGGTATCACAATGCATATTTTTCATAATTGATTCCCTAATTGAATACTGAATAATCACAGGATGGCCTGATGGGAGGAGAGACCCTTGAAAGACAAGCTCTTATTTTTATGATTGACCCGGCCGTTACTTGATGAAGATCACAAACTACATGTCGAAATATTTTTTTGTGTGAAAAATTTGTGTTTGTGAAGATCAAACCGTTATGTGTAGATGTTGTAAACGATTTAGGTACTTACAAAAATATGAAACAGAGACAGCATTGAAACTGTCTGACTCTTCTCTTTCTTTCTCTGTTAACACTGGAACTGAACACGTATTGAGGCTGATCTTCATTTTCTGGAACTAATCTTGTTCGTTCGGTAGGGTCAGTCATGTCTGCAAAACTAAAAATTCATTTTTATTTTTGGTGATACTTATGTCTTTCTTATCAAGGAAGAACTCGAAGCTCTTTATTGAATTTCAACAAAAACAGCATTTTGATTCATACTCCTAAGACAATGGATATATTTTATTGCATTCGTTAACCTGTAGATTTCTTTTATCAATGGACAATAAGGTTAATGAACCGCGTTGATCTAATAAAACTCATGTTCACTTAAATAAGTTCAATTCCATTCATTTTTTATAGCAAATGTGATTGGAAATGAAAATGAATCAATAAATAGGTTGACAATAAGTGAAATGTCAAATATAAACAAATAACAGAAGTTGAATAAATATCAAATGAAATAATCAATATAAATGCTGAAAGAGCAAAAACTTAAAAATAATGTTAATATCCACGATGGACCTCGCATGATAGCTGTTATAAGCCATAAAAAATATTTTAAATAAGACACAATATTTCAGCATATTCCAAAGCAATCGCGACTGTTCTTGAAGTTCCACAATGACCTGGCATGTTACGGAATATTCTCGAACAATCCACACCACACCATTCCAGAATATTCTAAGATGTTCTGGAATGTAGAGGAATGTTCTCGTATACTTTTGAATGTTCTGAGCCATTCTGGAACTTATAAAGGGTGAAATTTCCAGCCCTCATATATTCAAAAGTATGCCCTTCAAGTAAAAACTGGAAGCTTTTTCACAGATGAGCGACAGAGAGCTACCACATTATATGCTGTCTGTTAAAAAAATAAGGTGAATTTTCNGGGCGTCATGAATAAATCTATTTTGAATATATTTTTTCGTCAAGCAGATGTAGCCCCCTTACGAACGAAAACACCTAGAAGTCAAAACTTGTGCGTCTTTTCTAGTGCGATTCCTAGACAGGATGAAAAACACGATAAGCCCAAGAGATAGCAATTTTTCAAGGAGACTTGAAAGAAATGTTTTTGCAACCAACCAAAAATGTTAGCAATAATAAAATAATAAAAATAATATCAATAATAATAATGATGGAATGATGCCTTCCTACTCTCGAAAATTGTATTGAAAAAGGAAGTAAAATAGTTTTTTAATTGTATATCCTGAGAATATAAATGAAATCATCAAACATTAAACAATGTCACAACTTGACCTAACTTTCGAACCATTGTATTTTCTTATTAGGTTGAAAACTAAAACTACTTCTGAAACCCGCTTTTGCATCCAATATTTATTAATTAAATGAATACATTTGGTGAATTTCACTCCTCTTTCTCGCTGATTAGCAATATAAAAGACATAGGTTACTATTATAAGGATCACTGCATACCAATTTGTTAAATGTTACTCGATAAAATTATGTGGGTTTAATATAACTCTACATACCTACATATCTTATTTTTTGTTTTCTAATAACTGACTTCATATAGGGTGACATCAAATACGTATAGAAGCGTTAAATTCTCGTGGGTGCCCCTATATTATTAAACAATTACAGTACTCATTCTGAAGTCGTTTAAGTTGATCGGTGGGTAGAACAGGGCATACAGTACGGTCCAGCTCATTCCAATAACTTTTTCACGATCAACATTGTCAAAAAACTGAACCAAAACAGCTGCTGGCTTAGGATTGTCAACAATGGAGTTTTTGTTGGGTATCCGGTGGCATTCTTGACCTTCATCGTTTGGCTGATTACTTTCAGAACAACATTGGTTATGTTTTCACCCGGGTTTTCCTGGATGCCAAAGAATCTCAAGTTTTTGTTTCTTGAGGTTTGCTCTAAATTATCCATCCCATTTTTGTTATTGGTCTTTGGTCAGATTGGAGAACCTATTTTCAAAATGTACGGAGTTGTACCTCTTCCATGTATTTACATTTTTGATATAGCTTTTTATATTTTTGGATTTTTGAATTGAATCTCTTTTTAAAAAATCTGTTTTTCCGTTAATCAGCTGTCGCCCCCATACGAACGACAACTCTCAGAAGTTGAGAAACTTGTGCGAGCTAAGGACCATCGAGGTCTCACCTTTTAACGTGTGATTCCTAACACGGTTGCAGAATCATTCCAGCTTCAACCAGATGAAGATATCCATGGATATAGTACAAGAAATAAACACTCCATGTATATTCTATTTGGCGAAAGTGAGAACTGCATATTTTGCTCCCAATTACATTGGGCCATGAATTTTGATCAAACTCCCAGCTATCATAATACAACATGAATATGTGAGATATTTCAAAAAAGACTTGAAACATTTTTTATTGGAGAAAGTTTTTTATTTGTTTTCCGAATTTTAAATTGAAAATTAATGTATGTGGCTGTCTTATCTTGTATTTATATTTTATTTTCTTATTATTACTTTTGATAGCCCTTAGAATTAGGCTTGACAATTTCCATACATGTAACTGTCAACGGAAAATAAATATTCATGATTATTAGGTATATTTGCTTTATTTCGAAAATTTCTTTGATTCGAAGGAAATGAAAACATAAATGCAAGTAATTGCAAGTAGAGCAACTATTTAGCAGTATGTGCAGGTTTATTCAATAGGTACTAGCGACTTCAGCACACANAAATATTCGAATATGCTTTTCTGAATAGACTTCTATAATTCTCTCATCATAATAACATCTTTACAAAAAACCAACATGGGTTTCTGAATAAAAAATCTACCACTACAGCTTTACATTCATACCATAGAGAGATTGTGGACTATATTGAAGCAGGCGAGTGCCCTGTTGGGATATTCTGCGATCTCAGCAGGGCATTGGACTGTGTTGATCATAATATTCTCCTAAGTAAGCTATACAGTTATGGTATAAGGGGTACCTATACCATTTGCATGGGTAACGGATTATCTTTATCAAAGAAAACAATATGTCGCTATTAACAATGCAACTTCCAGCATGGCCCCTCTCAGAATTAGGAATACCTCAAAGGTCGATATTAGGACCTATATTGTTTGTATTGTACATAAATGATTTGGAGTATGCAACGCCCGGAACATTCATAACAATGTATGCAGATGGCACGTCGAATATCGCAAATCAGATTCAGTTTTGAAATAAAAATGTAAGAATGTTTTTGGAAGTATTAATAAATGTTTTCTGAGAACAATTTGTTTTTGAATGCGAAGAAAATATATTCAATGAGATTTCATCATCGGCAACGGGAATGTGATATCCAGTTTCAGAACAATTGATAATTCCGACACAGTAACAACAGAATGTACGAGCTTGAAATTTTTAGTTCTTCACATTGATGAGTGTCTGAATTGGCAGAATCACTGTGTGTTCCTAATCAAAACAATTAACTATATTTCATATCACTTTCGAAATATTAGGCAGGTTTTGAATGTTGATCAGATGCTAAGGCTGTACTATGCTCAGGTTGATTCCAGAATAAGATATGGAGTGTGCTCCTGGGGTCTTTCCTCTCGCTGCTCTGACGTCTTTACAGCACAAAAAACATATATGTACGTATCATCAGTGGCATAAGTAACCGTGATTCATGCAGAAATGCTTTAAAAAATTTTAGAATTCTAACTGATCCCAGTCTTTTAATTTTTGACTTATGCTTGTCTGTTTTTGAGAATAGAAACAAGTTGTTTGATACAAGACAAAAAACCATATTTTCGTATCATTTGCAAAAACCAAATTAGCTTTTGTATCACCCGATCAGATGACTCCACATGCCTATAATTTGCTTCCAGATATTATAAAACAATCCAAAACCATGTATATCTTCAAAAGAAAACTTTAGGATTTTCTTGTTGATAACTATTATTATCGCTTTGAATGATTTATGTGTATAAGTAGGTAGTTGTCATTATCTTTTTTTCAGGAACTTCTAGTCTCCGATCTCTTTTTTTTTATTTGACGATTCCTATACAAATTTTATAACTTTGTCAAAAAAAGGAAAATAAAGATTTATTATTTATTATCATTATAAACAATGAAAAATAATTCGGGAAATAAATACAAAAACAGAAGAAGAGACTATAAGGGTCCCCCCAAGAAATAGAGGGCCCCAAAACTACATGCTGTAGACTCGTTTTAACCATATAAGTCGCTGGGATCAGATGGCATTTAAACAGTAATACTGCTAAAAGAGCCAACATTTCTATTCCAAAATTGTGAGTAACACTCAAAGTTTGGCTCTAGGATACACAGCTAAAACGTGAAAACTAATCAGGACCAATTTCAATCCGAAACTTCGAGAACAGTATACAAACAGGTAACGTATCTCATGGGAAAATAAAATCGCAAAAATCGTGTAAGTCACATCAATTATAACCCAAGAACTGCTAGAACGATTTTCATGATTTTCGATCTGTTGGATTTGTCTCCGCCTGGAATAGCAAAATAAGTTTAATTGACGATGTTCAGTTTATAGGCCAGGCGTACTATATTTTTTTGAGGAAAAAATTCCTTACAGGGCAAACTCAACGGGAATGGGTTGGAAAGGTAGTCAGTAATATCGAGGCAAAAATTCAACAGCTGAATGTTTGCAGGGGCGGAGGGGTGGTGGTGAAAAGGGGTGAAAAACGGTTTTTCGCGGTTTGCGGCCGCGCAAATAGGAAATAGGAAAGTTGTAAATAATAAAAAAATCTATAACTTTTGTATTTATACTTTTTTCACATAACCTCAAAATTTTCGAGTAAAACGCAAAAAACCACTTTTTTCGTTTTTTATTTTTCATTTCACGAAAAAAAAGCGTATCACTATGAAAATTTGAGCAATTGTACTATTTTTTATCACAAATAAGTAGCAATTTTTTTGCGATAAGTTAATTAGTTTCTGAGAAATTCGCGTTTTTCGAAAAAAAAAACATTTTTTTCAAGTTAGTCAAAAAGGTTTTTTTTTGGCCTAGACAACTTTCACACCGCTCATTTTTTTCGTAATTACATCAGCTTTCAGATGAAAAAATAAAAATATACTACTTTAAGCAAAAAAAATCGTTTAAAATGCAAAAAACTGAAAAATTGTGCTTTTTTCGTGATTTGTTTCATAATATGTGATTAAACGATTTTTAAACT